CTGGAGGACGCTGCGCGGGCACACGATGTTCTCCACGATTAAGGAACTGGCCTTGTGGTGCGTGAACCACTATGTGCATGCGCGTGCGCATGCGTGCGTCTTGTGTGTGCGTGGGGGGGGGCGTTCGTGCATATGCGTCTAGTGTATGTTATATGCCGGGAGGTGGTGAAGTGCCTTTCCCCGCTGGAATGAGGGATCTGGCTCCGGCTTGCAAGCCAGCTTGCGTGGTTTTCCTCCTGCAGGTGTTTCTCCCTGTGGGACACCGCCTCATGCAGGAGAAGTTCTAAACTCCCGACTGGTCTCTCGATATGAGTTGTCGGGACGTATGGTGCGTGTAACGGGAGAAGACGGGTTAAGGAAGGGGAGGGAAAGATTGTGCGCGGTCTGTGGCCCGTTTTTTTAGTGTTCTGCCCGGCGAACTCTTAAAATTATAATTCGTTTGTTATGGGTCGGGGAAATCATAGAAAACGACTGATTACAGCAGTCAACCGCAATTTTCTGTTCTTTCGATCTACCCGAAACTCAGCAGTTTAGTTCAACAATGCCGCTGCCTCTACAGCAACTCTGGTCGAGGGATCCTGGGGTTCGAGTACCGACGGTGGCGGAGTTTTAAAACTATGTCAATAGCTAGTGAGAATTGGTCCGCTGTCTCTAGGAGAATTCTGCTCCGATCGGTAGTTTGCCGTGGTCCGATCAACACCAGGCGAATGTTGCAGCAGTATACACAAACGGGCCACTAAGCGCGCGCGGTCTTTCCTTTCTATAACTTGTCCTATATCCTCCCTTTACACATACGTACACTTAACATGCATCACACTTCTACACATGTAGTATGAGCCCCTTGAGCTTGTTCCGACTACGAAAGTGCCCCACCGGAGGAGATACCTGCAGGCAGAAAAACTTTATGAAAACCGACGTGTAGATTGACGCCGAATCTCACCATCTAGCGTGTGAGGAATACCGCAATTTTCCGGGGGGAAATATTCACGACCTCAACGGATCTAAATGTTCACACCAGTTGACGTGGCTAGGAACATCAATCAAACGAGCCAGCTAAGTAGTTAGTGTCGAAAATTCACCGCCGCTGCAACTCAAAACCTACGACCTCTCGATCAACGATACTGCACAGGCAACTGTGTTGCCGCTGAATTACCACAGCCTGCTAATTAAATCAAGAATATTGATTTTACGAGTTGGAATGTTGAGTTTTCGGGTTGATTTTACGAGTAAAATAACGAAAACGCGGAGGAAGTTCTATTTACGAGTATAATATTTTCCCACGACTATAATTCTACGCTATAATTAGAGAAGAGACGTAACGTTCAGACCAGCAAGGCCCGCAATGCGGGTGGATCCAGGTCACAGCGGGGCCTATTTTTTGGCTGAAGATTTTGCAATTGTAAGAAATATTACTTACTATCTCTGATACTTTGCAATAGTTGATACATTAAAATATTAAAAACAACATAATATCATAAAATTAAATAATAAATGCAGATTTTCCGTTATTGGTTACAAGAACTTTACCTTTGTTAACAATAAACACGACATACAAACCATCTTTCGACTGTCTCGTCTGATTTCGATTGTCTCTCGAACGCTCAGAGGAGAGAGTTGCCTGAAATGCTTTAAAAAAATAGAATTAGGGGGCTGATAGCATCGTCTTCACTTGTGCCTCCTTCTTCAATGCTTGCGTTAATGAGACTTGAATGAGATTATGCATTGCTAAATTATGTGGGTGTGTTTAAAAAAATTAAAATTATGTGTATTTTGTAAAGAAGAGGCCCGGATAAAATGGATTAAAGATTAATTACGAATGGGGCCCGGATAAAAGTTTTGCGAGTGGGCCCGCATTCATTTTATTACGCTACTAAATTAGAGTGTAATTCTCCGCCCACTCACGGCCCGCGATGCGCCTTCCCAGCGAGCAAGTTTACAGGCTGCGCCGCCGAAGGGAAGTGCGCCGAGTTCCAGCCCGCGCCTTGCGTCGTGGGTCTTTACGAGGCGCTCGCGGCCGGCGGAAGCGAGCAATAGGGCCAATGCGTCGCAGGGAAGGAAGTGCGACACGGGCCCTCGGCCGCTAAGCGCGGGGCATAATTCTTGCGACGACAGTATCGTCCAATTTGCGTCGCGGGGCCATCACTCCCGTCCGGCCATTACAATAAGTGAAGGCGCCGACCGCCCGGCAACGTGCCTCGCCTGTATATTTAAACTGGAAAATGAGCCGACTCGCGACGATATGCACGGCAAAGCAGTTCCTTTCGAGAAACCTCCACACGCATTAACTCGTCACACTTTACGGCAGTGAGAAATTACCTCAATTTCACTAAGTAAATTTTGCCTCCTTTTCAACACTACACTGGTGTTCTGGTTTAATGACTGCTATGGTTTTTTCCTGGGATATTTTTTGGACAACTTAACAATATTTATCCACATTGTATGAAATAAATTTGACATATGTATTATATTTTTTTCTTCAAATAGCCTCATTTTCTCGAGATTTTCAGAGAAATTAGTAATGGTCAAAAAGAAGAAAAAATTGCAGAAAAAAGCAATTGTTGCAATAAAAGCACATGCCACATAAAAATTGTAATTCATCACAAGTACTTACCACATGCAAGAAATTAATTTAGAAGCTATTTAATAAAAACAACTTGTCTTTAATGCTTGTTCATAATTGTTAAAAATTACTTATAGACAATACGTTTCAAGTTCTTAAAGAGAGGGAATAAAATTAAGTTTCTCATTGTGAAGAATGTTCGGAATAGATCACTTCTCGCCGCATTCCATTAGATCACTGGTTCATTCCCCACTCACCCTTCCCACAGTCTCAAGAGATAGCGCGACCACGATACTCTAGAAAAACGCCCCAGAGACAATCTAAAACACCCGCTAAGAATCCATTACTTGGCGGCCTATTGCCGATCGCTTAGCTGCGACCTTAACGCTAAGTGTTCATGGTTTAAACGATAAGAAACAAAATGGTCTCGCGAGGTTTATTTTCTCTTGCAGTTACAAAGTAGACAGAAATAGAAGACCGAAAAGACAAGAGTTCTGCACCATTTAAGGACTTAAAAGCAAATCTCTTCTATAATATATAAACTAATGTCAATAGCCCAGTAAGATGAAATCTTGGAATGGAAGACTAGCTTTCCATAGATACATTATCTTCAGATATAAATGAGGAGATTTCATTGACTTAGGGCGGATTCAGAGTGTGGAAAATCGTGGGGGAAGGGTACACTTTTACACACTCTTTGAGTTTTGTAATACGAAATAATGATTGCTTCTGTCGTGGGGGAAGTGTCTCCTACCACTTGCGGGGGAGTGGAAGGGTGCTAAGGGCAGATGTCCTCCAAGCTGGTCCCTATTCTTCTGAGGGCCTAAGGCAGATGAGAGGGAGCAATAAGAACTGGAATGACCCCAGTTACGGCAAACAGTAGGTTATTTGGGATGTGTCACTTACATTGGCACCTGACCTAGCCCAGCCTTCGCGTGGACAGTTCTCCGGAAAAGTGACTTTGCAGCGGCCATCGGACGGATCAGCGACACTAAGTGCACGGTGGTCAGGGGAGAGGGCGGGAAGCTGCTAGCAGGATCCCGGAGGGTCGGTCTGGACTAGTGGGTGGGGGAGTGTTGGCAGGACCAGTTTGGGCCGACTAGGGGTGAAGGGAGTCGACAGGGCCAGCGTGAGCAGGAAGGTCCATGCACACGATCGACGAGCTCCCGAGTAGCATTCGTCCCCCCGCCAAGCGGAGGTCTAACTCTTACTGCTGAGAAGCTCTTTTCGCGGCAGAGCTACGACATTGGGCTTACGCGAGCGCCAGCAGTCTGCGGCCACGCGACACTTCTTAAAGTTCCCGAAATATTACAATAAAGGTTTTTAAATTTGAACGAAATATTTTTATTTATTATCAAAATCAGTTAAAGATTGTCTGGCATATGAAGAACAAATGCATTTTGTACGTGTCCTTAAGGTTTGCAATCCTTAGTATACTACACTGCTGTTTTTTAGTATACTACACTGCTTCGCTTTTAGTACACTATACTGCTGAAACTTTAATTATAAATAGCAAAGTGCTTTTTTCACACAACTTGATATCCAGAAATATTTGCGCGCATGTAAAAAAAACTATTTTCATCAGCAATTGAGCTACAGAGTTAATATCTTATCCTTCATTGTGCCTCACATGAAGGAAGCGACTCATTCCCGCCAGATCATCGAAAACTAAAACGTGAAGAACTATTCTCGAAAACGTATTCCCCAGTAACACGCCACAGACATCAAGAATACGAGCGCAGATAATGAAGCCACATTGAAGGACGTTTCAAGAATAATGTGTTTCCTAAGACATACTGAATTGTAAAACTTTTAATTTCTTTAAAATCAGTGGTTACGAAAAAAATCTCAAGAATATTCATACAAATAGGTAAAATAGAAGTAATCTTCCACAATAAAAATGTTTATTTTTTACTGGTCCGTTATTGCTTGTTACTGCCTTCGATATGGAGCTCGATACACACTTCATAACGCACCTGGACCGAGAGGAGCCTGGTTATAAGGGAAATATGAAAAGAGTTGAATGATGCTACATGTTGTTTTATGGAGTGAATTATGAAAGAGAATTACTGGAGATAAATGTGAAAAGATAAACCAAGTCAAGTAAACATCTAATTAATTCTAAAATAATTAATCATCAAAATTAGATAAAAATATAAACCCCTTTGTACCATGTCGTTAACTTGTTCTAATGATCTCGGACGACAAAAAGGCCTCTGACTAAAGGCCCTCGGGCTCTTTGTTGTCACTCGATCATTAAATACCTTATAACACCCTTGATTCATATTATTGTGGAATCTTACTTCTGTGTCACCTATCTTCTCGTACGGCTTTCACCTTGTGGCAGCCACCTTCTGCAGCCCCCCC